GTAAATAGAAAAAATAGAAGTACATGAGTAGCCAGGCTGTCTGCCTGGTCCCTTCTGCCCTGGTCTTTGGCATGGAGGTAGGCCTAGCCTGTGTTCCAGCCGCCCGGCTGGTTGCTGCCAGTTCAGTTTCCCAGGACTTGGGTCTAATCCCAGTCTCACACCTCACATGGAGCTGGCTGGTTCCTGTTAGCGTTTCAGTCTACCCCTAACAGGGAGCATAGCTGCTGCCAAGAACTCATGAAACTGGATTCCCATTTGGCCCCTTCTGATCAGACCCTGCCGGATCACTTTGCCTGCTTGGAAACAGATGGTGGCTGTACCACGTCTCTCCATATATTCTGATTCAAGTTACCCCCTGTCTCCCCAGCTTGTGGTGCAACAGGCTCTGATCTGGAATTCTAGGTAATGCTAGCCCCCTTTCAGAATAGTTCCTTAGAGATATAACCTGTGCCAAACAAAATAAAGAAACCTTATCGAGTGAGGAGACTTTCAGAGAACTTTATCTATTTTTCAAAGTCTTCCACGGAAAGTTCCCAAGAACATTCTAGAAGATAACATGGTTTTATTTGCTCAGCGGCTTAGCTCAAGTCAGAGGTGATTTGACAGATTTATGACGAGGCCTTTTTTAAATGCGTCGATCTGGTGATCTGGCTAGCTTTGACCTGCCCTCGAAAGAATGCTCTGCCCTGAAGCAGGCCCATCTGGTCAGACATAGTTACACAAATGGGAAGGTTCTTGCAAATGGTCAATCAACTTACAGCGAGCAAAACAACCAGCCGAGCCTTTAGTTGTGTCTCAAAGTACGGCTATTTTCAAAGCTGTTTTCATTGAGACCTTCTGCCTGGAGGAAAACACTTGTTAAATCTGTGTGTTATGAAGTGTTAGGCTAGTGACATTCAAAACTGTTAACACTCAGACAGTTTTTATTTATTAATGGACTTTTCATCTTTTCAAACTGGCTTTTTAAAATCAATAATAATCTCTGTTAATCAAAATGCATACAGAAACACAATTTATGAGTTGGTCATTATTCTTTCTTGCTATAGAAAATTAGCCAACAGCTGTTCAACAGACCCACACAACCAGCAATAACTTTGAAATATAGTTAATAACAAACATATTCATGATTTTTCACTATCTTGCTTGTTTTCAGTGATAAGAATCAATATAAATGTCTCGTGTTAAGATTTGTGTTTGTTCCTTTCTGGTGTGTGCAAAAGAAATAAAACAGTATTCCCAACAGTTAATATTTTAATTGCTTTGTTCTTTTCAGTGTATTTTAGAAATAAATCACTTACTCTGGTCTTATCCATTAATAAAAAGTTATTATGACTTCAAATCCTCTTTTGGCTAGATTGCGAATACAAATAAATATAGAATCCATTGAAAATCTACTACATACAAGTCACCTAAAACAGACCTGTTTTCAAGACCTTTCTACTAAGCTATGGAGACCTTTTTGTTAATTTATGAAAACTTTCCTACTCTAGGGAAAACAGATGAAATAGTGACGGTCATGGTTGAATTGGTGGTGAAAGGCCCAGAACCTGCCAGGAGCTACTCCCCCAATCTCAAGGTCTCTCTCAAGGGTTACCTCCAAGCACTCAGGCTACCGTGAAGCACAGTTAGAAAGCTACAACCTGATAGGCGAAATGTGATTTCAACCCTAGTTCTTCTTGGGTACTGAGGGGGGTCACCTTAACAGCATCAATCCAAATTTTAGTGAGTCTTCTTGCTGTGTATTCAACCAGGACCTTCAACCTATTTCAATAAAGTCCCACCCAGACTCCACAGAGATGTCTCACATGTCCTTATGAATGGTGACCATGTTATTACAGGCAACATGCAGATTCTCCCAGGTGCATCCCCTTTTCCCTGGCCCTGGCCGATCCAAGGTCCTCTGTCCACAAAGCCTCTTGAGGGTGCCTCCCTGACCCCTGCTTCTGGCCACCACAGTCAGAATTTCAACTTTCAAGCCAAAGCAAATAAATATAGGGTCCAAAGCTGCCAATCCATTAGGGTCAGAATAGCGCTATATTCTCGCCCATCTGTCCAGCAGCCTGTGTCATGCTCTCCTGGGGATATAAGAATGCCACTCGCAGAGTCCTTCCTGAAGACCAACCTTACAGCTTTGGCTCAGGCCCTGTTCTACAGGGCTCAAACACCAAGCTAAAGTGCCAGGAGGGAACAAATCCCATGCTGGCTTTTCATTTTCACCCCACCAGTCGTCACTAAACTTCCTCCCTTCTCTTTCAGCCCCATACAACAAAACTACAAACTGACTACTCTCATCTACTCAACAGTGTAGGTACATTCTCTGACACGTGTGGACCTCGGTTCGGGCTCAAGGTGGAATTCATCAGACTATGTTACTTTGAGCCAAGTTTGATATCAGCTGTCCTGCTTTGCTTTAGAATGACACCATTGACTTGTCCAAGCCGAGGCTCTGAGCCCAGCCCCTGAGGTGCCATGAGCTTAAACGCAGAGATGTGCTCAGGATATGAGACAGTTTCAGCAAACACATCAATTCTTTTGGCCCTTGGAATGAATGTGCTACCCAAAGGGCGGCTACTGTCTTGATTATATTTCCCAGAAAGCTACGAGGAAAAACAAACAAACCAACCAACCACAAAAGCTATTTCCTGGCTCTCCCAGCAACTCTGACTAGTTTTGAGTGGTTGTTTTTTATTATCCCTTCCTTTGGGGAACAAATTAAAGTTGTGTGTTTATTTCTGCAACACTGAGAAACACAAAGAGAAAGCCTCCCAAAAGGATGATCCTGTTTCCCATTCCAGAGATTTGCCAACAACCACATGAAAAGGAAAAATAAACTTGAAGGTGTTGCATTATGTAATAGATTTGCCCTTTAATATGACTTATAATTCCATTTCTGTTTTAAATTCACTCAAGGTATGACCATCCTCAACCCCCTAAAAAAGTCATGCTCCCCCGAGACAGACATAGGTAATAAAGTGAATGCTCACTATATACCTAGTATATCTGTTATGTAGAAGTTCTCATTCTCAGGTTCCTCAAAGTGGGGCATAAATGTATTTTTCCATAGTGTCTGCATAAGTCAATCCAAACCTTAGGGACTTTTTATGACAGCTTGTACTCTAACAATGTCATGGTCTCCCCCATGTCTCTGAGATTAGGCGTGATACAGATGGAACTGAGATATTATCACACACACCAGATTGTCAGGGACAGATACCCTGGCCGTGGCCTCCTTGCCTGGTCTAACTTAGTCCTGGTCTTCATGCCCCAATACCCAGGCCAGATACATAGACTTATCTCAGTCATTGTGGGTCTCCTACTTAGTCCCTGCTCCTGAGGTCTAGAGGCTGGATTGTGTGAGTGGGTAAGAAGCAATAAACCTGGGCTATCAATACCACAGGTCTTTGAGCTTTTCCTGTGCCACCCAGTTGCAGGTTCCTACACTGTTTTTCCTGGTGGGTGGCCCCTGGGATTTCCAGGGGATTGACCATAGCCCGGATGGTAACAGAAACCACTTAGCCCACATGTTTCCCCAGAAGGAGATCTGTTCCCAATGAAGGTGCACTGGCTGATCCCAGAGCTTGGGAGAAGATCTCCTTGGGATGAAAGGACTTGCTAAAGAGAGCAGCGAAAGAGCATTGGAGCTTGAAGGCAGCAAGCCCCACTGGCCTGAAAGAACTTACGTGTCAGTTTCCTAGGGTGGGAGAAAAGTTGGAAGGACCCTGAAAGTTCTCTTCAGCTCTATGACTTCTGGTTTTAAGTGACCACATCTGCCTTGAGAGCAGACCTCAGAGAGCTGGGGAAGAAATACAAATGTTCCTGGTCCCAAGGGAGAAAATCAGGGACAGAATGGGGAGGACTTTGCTGTGCATCTGTCAGTGTCTGTGAAGAGAGTAAGGCTGCTTGCCTAAGGCTCCTGGGCTGGTCACATCCCCCTTTCCCTAAGCCCTCAGGGTCATCACCACTGGCTGTTGTCTCTCCCTAGTATTTTCATGCTCATGCTTGACCTGAGACATTTTCTCAAAGGGTTGAAGTTCCTTCTTTCTTTTTTCTGCCCACCAGACTGGATAGGCTATTCTACTGTTCCTCCAGCCACCTCACTGCTAAGACGGATGTCTAAGTTTCTGGCCCTTATGTGTATCTGTAGAAAAGTTCTGAGGCAACTATGCATCTATCTCTGGTCCATCTTAGTCAGCTTGGGCTGGTATAACAAAATACCATAGACTGGATGGCCTAAACAACAGACATTTATGTCTCACATTTCTGGAGGCTAAATCCAAATCAGGGTGCCAGCATGTTTGGGGTTTTGTGAGGTCTCCTTTTCTGGCATGCAGATGGCTGCCTTCTTGCTGTGTCCTCACATGACAAAGTGTGCACACTGGTCTCTTCCTCTTCTTGTAAGGACATTAATCTGATCGTGGGGCTCTACCCTCATGACCTCATCCATACCTAATAACCTCCCAGAGGCTCTGATTCCTAATACCATGACATTGGGAGGTAGGGTTTCAACGTACGAATATTAGGGGCACGGCGCAAAAAGGTTCAGTCCATAACACTGGTCCATAAGCCAAGATGCACCACAGCTGGAAAGAGACACTCATACAGGACATCACCAGAGAGAAAACGATTCTAACAAAAGCGAGTCATGACCATATTCAGCATCTAAGATGGGGAAAACCTACTGTCTCCTTCCCCATTGGCTCTCCTTTTGGGTCACTGGAGACAGTCCTTCTTGAGGACTTCTCTGAGCTGATTTCAGTTAGTGGCTCGTTAGAGTCCAACATTTTCAGAATCATCCAAAAACACCATTCTGAAGCAGTCTTGCTTCTATCAATAGTGATGGCCTCTAATAACTGTGACATGTTATTGTGGTAAAAGAACTCCTTTCCAAGGTGAAGGAGGGATGGAAAAAAAGGCAGTGAAGGGAATTGTGAGATACACATGTATTAGTTTGCTACAGCTGCTGCAACAAATTACCCCAAACTTGGTAGCCTAAAACAATAGAAATTTATTCTCTCACAGGTCTGGAGGTCAGAAGTCCAAGGTCAAGGTGTTAACAAAGTTGGTTCTTTCTGGTAGCTCTGAGGGAAAATCTGCTCCATGCCTCTCTCCTAGCTTCTGGTGGCTGCTGCAACTCTTGGCATTCCTTGGCCTGCAGATGCATCACTATGACCTCTGCCTCTGTCCTCACAGCACCTTCTTCACTGAGTGTCTTCTCTCCTATATAAAGAAACTTGTCATTGGATTCAGGGTACATCCTAATTAAGATCCTTAATTAAATTACATCTGCAAAGACCGTTTTTCCAAATAAGGTCACATTCACAAGTTCTAGGGAGACATATCTTTTGGGGAGATACATTTAACCAATACAACATGTAAAGGAAAATCAAGTAAATCCAAATAAGAAAGGTAACCAACATCTCTATAACAATCGTAGAACAGATCAAATAGACTGGAGTTGTGAACTGGGAGTGAAGATATTGGGTTATAGTCTTAGTTCTGTCAAGAATAGTGATTCTGTAATCTTGGGCAATATCCTCCCTTTTGTAGGCTCAATTGCTGCATCTCGAAAATGAGAAAATGGATTAAATGAGCTCTTCCAGCTCCACTGTTCTATGGTTCCGTTTGATAGTCTTTCTTCTAACTAGATCTCATGTGTGCTCATGTGTGCACATGCGCACACACACACATGCGTGCACGCAAAGCACACCCCTCCCTGCTGCAGATCAAGCCAGACACCTCCCAGTCACCCAGCTGAGTATTGAATTTATACTGTTTCATGTGGGGAGTCTGGAATCTCGCTTCCATTGTGTCATGTTTGACTTGGCTGGAGAAATCTATTTGGCAGTGCTTAAAAATGCCGCACCTTTATATCCTGAGTTTTTCCACAATCTTCTTGTCCTGGGTTTCGGAACACTTCTTTTCTTCTTTTCCATTTGAGTATTTCAGTCTCTGGTCTTCGGCGGGTCCACTGCTCTTTCTGCCCCAGGAGTGGTCACGTCTCAGATGGTGTGTCCTGGCTCTGGCAGATCATTCAAAAAGAGGGTGATGGATAAAGAAGAGAGGCTAGGAAATTCCAGGGCTTTGTTTCTTCATGGAACTCCTGGTGGTATAACGACCAAGTACTGGAATTTACATCACGACCCTACTCCAGAAAACATGTGTGGTAGATAATTAATTGTGGTAGATAAACTGTATCTTATAATCCCATAGTTTACATGCGAGGGCTGGGCAAAGGAGGACGGTAGTCATGGAACCCAGGATGAAAGAGCTGGAGAAATCGTTTGCAATCGTTCCTATGTGTATGAATGTTTAGAAAATATAAGTTCTGTGAGAGGACAGGGGTCTTACTGTCCTGTTCTTCACACCTGTATCCTCAGCGCCTAGCTCAGGGTGTGGCACATAGTAGACACCCTTTTAATTTCTGATTATGACTGAAAATGAATGTATGAATCAGATTCTTAGAAGAGTACAGATCTCATGCAGTGCCCTCATTTCTGGTTCATTTTCAGCAGGCATAAGTGTTAATAGGCTAACACTTCTCTACTAAATAACTGATGATCTCAAAATGATTAAAGGTATTGAGGGAATTCTGCTCCATATTAGCTCTGAGGTCCTTCCATTAATAGGTATTAAGAAAAATAACCCTCTACTTACCTGTTTTATAAATTTAGGTATTTTGATGTTGATTATTTTTCTTAAACGTCCATCTTTGCCTCCTCATCCTCTCCACTGGGCACGCTCCTAAACGCACACACACAGACACACACACCACACACAGGAGTAGCTGGGGAGGGTCTGGTGTCTGCCACCAGCTTGTCTCCAACAGGAACAAACAGGTGGTCTGTGTGGCCACCTAGTGGAGTCTCTTAATCCCTGCAGTTCCTCGTAGCTTTTGAAGGAGCTGAGGGAAACTGCACGCACGAGGTACTGCGAAGATTCCCCACTTCCTCAGGACGTTGGAGACCCGCCCTGGAACGTAAGCCAGAGGAGAAAGGCGGGTGAACTTGAAGGCGTGACCGGCTCGGGTCGCTGCCCCACTTCCGCAAGGATGGGTGGCCAAAGCCTGCCGCGCCTGAGGCTGGGCGACCCTGATCCAGCCGGAGGAAGTGATGTCACGGCCTCCTCCTCAGAGATGCCTTTGAAACGGAGGGTGGGGTGTGTGTGTGGGGGGGCGGGGAGAGTGGAATGAGTGCCCGGGTGAGACAGAAAGTCCTTGTTTCCTGGGAAAGGTCAGGCTTTGAGAGACTTTTTAGCAAAGATCTCTCGCCTCAATTTTGAACTCTCCATTCGAGTTCCTTTAGAGAATTGTTCTTTGGGACTGAGAAACTGTAGTGATTGTGGAGGACACAGAAAAGGAGCAGCAAAATGGTGATCAGAGAACAGAGCCAGCAAAACGCAACAGCCGCTGGGAAATGGAGTTTAAATGAGGAGTTTGGGCTGTGACATAGAAAGAGGCTCCTAGGAGGAGACACTCTAGAACCTTCCCACGGGGCCCTCAATCTACGTAGATCCCTGAGTACTGGGCCCCAAGAAGGGAGTGGCGCTGGGAGACGGAACTACAAGATCAGCACTGCTGAGACACACACCATTACCAAGAGCGTCCCCCAATTTCACACTCATCCTGCAGGTGCCACAAAGAATGAGACTATTGTGAGACGTCACCTTTCCTTTGCTAATTTTTTTTTTTTTTTTTTTTTGCGGTACGCGGGCCTCTCACTGCTGTGGCCTCTTCCGTTGCGGAGCACAGGCTCCGGACGCGCAGGCTCAGCGGCCATGGCTCACGGGCCCAGCCGCTCCGCGGCATGTGGGATCTTCCCGGACCGGGGCACGAACCCGCGTCCCCTGCATCGGCAGGCGCACTCTCAACCACTGCGCCACCAGGGAAGCCCCCTTTGCTAATTTTATCAGGTTTTGCCTGAATGTGCACCACATTGGAAATCACCTCTAGCCCTGGCACCTACCTTTACCCAGTTAGCTCTGTGTAAGCCCTTCCTGTGCGCCTACAAATTCTCCCTATCGATCCTTAGGTTTCTCCATTTAGAATAAGAAGAACTTGTCCTCAGTTCTTGTCGTGCTCCTCCACATCCACTCTCCTCTCCGTACAGGTGTCTCCAAAGAGCAGTTTATTCTTTATTTTCTTTTCCGCATCTTTATTGGAGTATAATTGCTTTACAATATTGTATTAGCTTCTGCTGTACAACAAAGTGAATCAGCCATATGCATACACCTGTCCCCATAGCTCCTCCCTCTTGCGTCTCCCTCCCACCCTCCCTATCCCACCCCTCTAGGTGGTCACAAAGCACCGAGCTGATCTCCCTGTGCTATGCGGCTGCTTCCCACTAGCTAGCTATTTTACATTTGGTAGTGTATATATGTCCATGCCACTCTCTCACTTCGTCCCAGCTTCCCTTTCCCCACTCCTGTGTCCTCAAGTCTGTTCTCTATGCCTGTGTCTTTATTCCTGTCCTGCCCCTAGGTTCATCAGTACCGAAGAGCAGTTTATTCTGACCCCTCTGTCCTATTCCCATCTGGTTCTTGTCTTAACCATTCCCTGGAAATTGCCCTTTTAGAGACTGCTCAGGACTTTCTCAGTGCCCAATCCAAAGGCCTCATTACTAATAACATGTCAGGTTTGATATTTCTTACAGTCTCAGCCCCTGGTGTTCAAGGATATAACTTTATTTTCCTAGAACTGACCTCAGACCAGCAACTCAGACTCCAATGTCTGCTTGGCAGCAGAAAACATAGCCTTTCCTAATTCAACATAAACTCAGCCAATTCTGTTTTATTTTTTGATCCATTTACAGACAATAACTTGGGGGATTATGATTCAAAAATTAGCTTTGTTTTCTGGTACTTCAGGCAGTTCTGTTTTCTACATGGTTGTGTTATATATCACTTTGTCCTTTATATTATGGTAAGGAAAACATAACATAATAAAAGTATGTGTTTTTTATTGAGATGTAATCGACATATAACATTATGTTAGTTTCAGGTGTACAACATAAAGATTCAGTATTTGTATATGTTGTGAAATGATCACCACAATGAGACTAGTTAACATACATCACCAAGCATAGTTTTATATATATATATATATATATATATTTTTTTTTTTTTTGCGGTATGCGGGCCTCTCACTGTTGTGGCCTCTCCCATTGTGGAGCACAGGCTCCGGACACGCAGGCCCAGTGGCCATGGCTCACGGGCCCAGCCGCTTCGCGGCATGTGGGGTCCTCCCAGACCGGGGCATGAACCTGTGTCCCCTGCATCGGCAGGTGGACTCTCAACCACTGCACCACCAGGGAAGCCCATAGTTATAATTTTTTTTATTGTGATGGAAACTTTTAAGATCTACTCTCTTAGCAACTTTCAAATATGCAATACAGTGTTATTAGCTCTAGTCACCATGCTGTACGTTATATCCCCAGGACTTATTTATCTTATAACTGGAAGTTTGTATCTTTTGACCCCCTTCACCCAGTTCACCCATCCCCTCCCCGCTGCCCCTGCCTCTGGCGACTACAATCTGTTATCTGTGTGTATCTATGAGCTTGGTTTTTGGTTTTGTTTTGTTTTTTAGATTCCACATATAAGCGAGATCTTACAGTATTTGTCTTTCTCTGTCTGACTTTTTTCACTTAGCATAATGGCTTCAAGGTCCGTCCATGTTGTTGCAATGGCAAGATTTCATTCTTTTTTTTAAAACTGGTGTATAGTTGATTTAAAATATTATATTAGTTTCAGGTGTACAACATAGTGATTCGGTATTTTTATCGATTATACTCCATTTAAAATTACTATAAAATATTGGTTATACTCCCTGTGTTGTACATTACATATTTGTATCCTACTTGTTTTATACCTAGTGGTTTGTACTTCTTAATTCCTTTCCCCTGTCTTGCTTCTCCTGACTACCCTCTTCCCATTGGTAACCACCCCCTTATTTTCTATATCTGTGAGTCTGCTTCTGTTTTGTTATATTCGTTTGTTGTATTTTTTAGACTCCACATATAAGTGAAAACATACAGTATTTGTCTTTCTCCATCTGACTTACTTCACTTAGCATAATACCATCCAGGCCCATCCATGTTGTTGCAAATGGAAGCATTTCATTCTTTTTTATGGCTGAGTAATATTCCATTGTGTACATATGCCACATCTTCTTTATCTGTCATCGGTTGATGGATACATAGATTGCTTTCATATCTTGGCTATTGTAAATAATTGTAAATAATGTTGCTGTGAATATCTGTGGTGCATGTATCTTTCCGAATTAGTGTTTTTGTTTTCTTTGGCTATATACCCAGGAGTGGAATTGCTGGATCATACGGTAGTTCTATTTTTAGTGTTTTGAGGAACCTCCATACTGTCTTTCATAGCGGCTACACCAATTTACATTCTCACCAGCAGTTTACTAGAATTCCGTTTTCTCCACATCCTCACCATTTATTATCTGTGGTCTTTTTCATGATAACCATTCTGACAGGTGTGAGGTGATACCTCATTGTGGTTTTGATTTGCATTTCCCTGATGATTAGTGATGTTGAGCATTTTTTCATGTGCCTGTTGGCCATCTGTGTGTCTTTGTAAAAATGTCTATTCAAGTCTTCTGCCTATTTGTAATTAGGTTTTTTGTTCTTTCTATATTGAGTTGTATGAGCTCTTTATATATTTTGAATGTTAACCCCTTATCAGACATATCATCAGCAAATATCTTCTCTCACTCAGTAGGTTGTCTTTTCATTTCATTGATGGTTTCCTTTGCTGTGCAAAAGCTTTTAAATTTAATTAGGTCCCCTTTGTTTATTTCTGCTTTTGTTTCCTTTGCCTGAGGAGACAGATCCAAAAGATATGTCGCTAAGACTTACGTCAAAGAGTGTCCTGCCATGTTTTATTCCAGGAGTTTTATGGTTTCTGGTCTTACATTTTGGTCTTTAATCCATTTTGAGTTTCTTTTTGTATATGGTGTGAGAAAATATTCTAATATCATTCTTTTACATGTAGCTGTCCAGTTTTCCTAACACCACTTATTGAAGAGACTCTCTTTTTTCATTGTATATTTTTGCCTCCTTTGTTGTAGATTAATTGACCATATATGCATGGGGTTTATTTCTGGGCTCTCTATTCTGTTCTGTTGATGTGTGTCTGTTTTTGTGCCATACCAACTTGTTTTGATTACTGCAGCTTTGTAGTATAGTCTGAAGTCAGGGAGTGTGACACCTCCAGCTTTGTTCTTTTTTCTCAAGATTGTTTTGGCTATTTGGTGTCTTTGTGGTTCCAAACAAATTTTAGGATTATTTGTTCTAATTCTGTGAAAAATGTCATGGGTATTTTGATAGAGATTGCATTAAATCTGTAGATTGCTTTGGGTATTATGGACATTTTAATAATAGTAATTCTTCCAATCCATGAACACAGGGTATCTTTCCATTTATTTGTATTGTCTTTAATTTCCTTCATCAGTGTCTTATGGCTTTCAGAGTATAGGTCTTTTTCTTGGTTAAGCTTATTCTTAGATATTTTATTCTTTTTGATACAATTTTAAATGGGATTGTTTTCTTGCTTTCTCTTTATGGTAGTTCGTTATCAGTGTATAGAAAAGCAACAGATTTCTGTATATTAACCTAGATCCTGAAACTTTACTGAATTCACTTATTAGTACTAATAGTTTTGTGGTGGAGACTCTAGGGGTTTCTATATCATGTCATCTGCAAATAGTGACAGTTTTACTTCTTCCTTTCCAATTTGGATGTTTTTATTACTTTTTTATTGTTTGATTGTTGTGGCTAGGACTTCCAATACTACGTTAAATAGAAATGGCACGAGTGAACATCCTTGTTCCTGATTTTAGAGGAAAATCTTTCAGTTTTTTACTAGTGAGTATGATGTTAGCTGTGGGTTTGTATAAATGGCCTTTATTATGTTGAGATATGTTCCCTCTATACCAACTTTGTTGAGAGTTTTTTTTTTTCATCATGAATGGGTGTTGAATTTTGTCAAATGGTTTTTCTGCATCTATTGAGATGACCAAGTGATTTTTATCTTTCATTTTGTTAATGTGGTGTGTCACATTGATTGATTTGC